AGCCATTCTGTGCTACGACTTGGGCTCTCAAGCCTTATCACTGATTCATCTACCGGACTTAGGCTCTAACGGCCTATCACTGAGTGACGGCTCCTCTATGCTCATAGAGAATGTGGATGGCAGTCTGGGTTTTGCATATATGCACAGGTTAATCCTATACCTGTGGTCAAGGCAAATGAGTTCCGTCGGAGCTGCATCATGGACTCAACATAGAGTCATCGATCTCAAGGAAAGTCTCCCCATTCAAAACCCCGAGGAAGGACCTGACTTGATGGGATCTGTGGAGGGCAGGGACATCATTTTCGTGACCACAGACCTTGGTATCTACCAGATCAATCTCAACACACTAAGATGGAAGAAGATATGGAAGAGAGAAGAATTCCCTACTCTGATTCCGTACATGAGTTTCTACAACCCACGAGGTGCGTCTCTATGTCTTTCTTTTGTGATTAGGGGAATCTTATATATAAGTACTATAGGTATATCACTTAGTGGAAGCGGGGGAAAATGTTTAGTGTTTAATCAGATAAAAATAAATATTTGATGTTTCTAATTTGTTTAGAGAGATAGATATGTGTGCTCAAGCCAACTTCTTTTTTTCGCCGGAATTGCTCAAGCAAACTTTGGGTGATATGTAGCACTCCAATGTTACACCCAATTATGTTTATGCCTTGCAATTTTATATAGTATCATATCAGCTCCTTTTTGGAATCTCATTAACAAATATATCGTTTGCAGAAAAGGTGAGCCCCAGTGATGCGATTCATTGATAATGCATGGTCGAATATGCTTAAGGGTAGGATAACCAACTTGGAGGTGACTGGCGATGAATTATGTCACTGTTCAGTAGATGATTTGGTGCAGTGGTGCTTGTTTTCTCATTATGTTTTTGGGTTTTGTCGGCAAACTTTATTTGAAGATTTTGAGACACCATTGAATGTAATTCCTGTACTTGAAGACATGGTATTTATTTTGTTTGGAAAACATTGAAGTTCATAGGCAAAACTCACTCCATTGGTAAATCCTTACAATGAGTAGCACTGAACTGAAACTATTCTGCCGAAAAAAGAGAGGAGATGATTTTTAAAAAAAAAATTGAACCATGTGCACGTACATCTATTATAACGAGTATTGTAACAGCCCTGGGTTTTCCTCTTATTAAAAATTGATTGCAGAGGGGGATTCACCCTTCTCTAAAGTTTATCATTTTAAAAACTCCACAGTTTGCTCTTCCAGCTCTGATCCATTGTTTAAATTCATCTCGTACCATTGCTGAGCAGATGATGAAAGTATATCTAGAGTTAGTGGTTTTGTCATCCAAGAATTGATATAATGATGATTTCTGCATGATGGCCTGCTGATGTATCCTAATTAATCTTGTGGGTTTAATTAGTGGTACCTGTCACCCTAAAAAAGGTTAGTGCTGATGTTACTGTAGTTGTTGTTTTAGCAAGCAATGTTACTGAAGAGCATAGCATGGAAACTGAATCTTTAGCCATATGTTTAGCGAAGTACAGGATATGCAAACTACATGTCTGCTTGATGATCTCATATTCTCATACATGTTTTCATTGCTTCAGCAGGTCCAGAAAACTGCCAGGTACTTGTTGAATACTTTTGGCCTACAGTGGACATAATAGTAGATTGCAATGTCCATGTAGTGGGATGGAAATATTCATATGTTACAATGCAGTGATCTGCAATTCAGCGTCGGAGGCAGGTGCCACTGGGCAGCAAGATCAACTGCGAAGAGCAACAATGGATGTTGATGATCAATTGCCATGAACATTGCAGGTTTAAGTTTTTTACAGAGGCCTCTCTGAATCAACAACATGATTATGGCAAGCTGTCTTGCTGTCAGCTCTCCTCTTAATGCACTAGTTCTCTTCAGTTGTCCATTGTGATTAGCTGACTTGAACATAATTTTGCTAGAGACTTTGGAAAAGGCTGTCTATTAACCCCTCTGCATGCTGTACTAGTTCACTTCGGCTCGGGGCTATGCAGTGCCCAATGTTGCCCAGGCTGAGCAATTTTTTTCACAAGCACTTCAAAGTCTTAGATGTAAAATTTGTTTGAATTTGCAATAAATGGCTCCTCCTTCTATTAAAAAAAATTCATGTTTGATCAGAGATTGCAAGGGTACACTGAAGTGGGTAAGAGTCACTCACATCCACGTAATTGGCTCTTAAGCCTCAAAATCTGTAACTTCAGTATCAATTTTTGAGATTTTTTTGCCAAATGTTTTTCTACAATATTCTGAATTTTAATATCATAGAAGCTTATTAGCATTTTTGGAATATTTTATTTCTCCCTGCTATATTTTTTTCCTTCTTCTCTCCATTCATATGAAGTGTCGCCATCCGAAATCCAGATGGTTTTTGACCTTGTACGAACCCAATTAAACCCATAAAAAGGTGGGGGCCAAGCTTAGATTTTGACAATTGTCCATAGAAGAAAAAATATACAGTGACCAATAAGCAATTATATTGGAGTTTCTTTGTTTTTATTAGTTTATATTTTTTGTAGAACTTCTGTGTTCTGATATAAATGAATGTTTTGTTGATTTTTGGACAACATCAAATGAATGTACAAATGTTGTTGTCATACCGCCACGACAAAATCCAAAAAGGGATCGTGATACTAAAGTTATCATGACTCTCTCATTCTTTGGCAAATCAAATAGGGCGGCCTTGCCGCCTGTAAAACAGTGTGCATTCAGTTGAATCGGTGCAGATTGTTGGATGTAAATCCTAGGGCTCATCTTCTTCCTCTAGCCTCAGAGAACCTCCACCAACCATGGCCGGCGGCGGTGCCCCACCTCGTCATCCCTCCCGCCAAGCCGCCTCCTTTACCCTATCCCTCTAAACCCAACCTTTCTTGGGTGTCGACAACCCTCCTTGCTCCCACACCAGTCTCGCTCCTGCCTCGCTCTTACCGACCGCGGCCATCCGCAACGCCCTCCATCTCCCACTCATTCCAGACTCGAACTCATCGCGGCTAGCCCTGATGTCCCCATCTCACTCTTGGGGTTGCGCCTTGGTCTTACACAGATAATGCCGTGAAAATTTTAAATTGCTTGAATAATTGCAAAACAACAAATCAAATCATTTCAAGTTGCGGGCAAGTGGAAGAATCGTGTAGTCAATGCATAGGCCTTGTATTGTAGCCCTGACGAGAGCAACACACTCGCCCAGGCCCCATCTATTGGACTCCCCACACAGAGCCTACCAAAAGCCGATCGCAAACCCACATCAGCTCAAACTTTCCCCCTCTCGGTTGAAACGCTCCCCTCCACCCACCACCAACCATGTCGGTGCAACCGCCGTAGACAACAACATTGCACGCGTGTGTGGGTTGTAGTGGGCGGTTTTCCCCTAGTTTTCTTGGCGTGGTAAAGCATGGGATGGAGGCGATGAAGGTTGAACGAAATTGGAACATGATGAATTGACTGGGCTGTTGGTGACAATTTTGATTGATTATTGATTTGTTTACATTTTTGATTGATGGTTGCTTTGTCTTTTATGACAGTAGATCCGCTCTGAGACACACGAGTACATCCTAAGAAAGGACAGAAATGTGACTAAATCGACACTTGACAAATTAGATGGGGTAGCCATCGGTAAAAGAAAATATAAAATCATGGGAAAATCTTTGGATCTATGGGGCTAGCCGGAAGGGGGCGACGTACAAACTTCCTTAGAGATTTTCTTTTTGGAAATGGCAGGATTCCAACATTCATTAGAGGGAAAGAGTTGCACTGTTAATTAAAAGAAAATATTTTCTTTTTCTTCACCCAAGCTCCCACACCGCCTTAGCCGCACATCATCCTACACCGGTGCCGACAAGACCACCAATAACCACCACCATCAAAGGTGCACATTGGAGAAGAAGCGCCCACAACCACCACCACCTTGTGGAGACCACTGACGGGCAACCTCTAACACGAGGCGCCAAATCCATCAATGGTCGTTCGAACGTAGCGTGAGCCGCTATGCCCTAACAAGCACCATGATGACACTTTACAAAGGAGCACCGCCCAATGTTGAGAACCACCATGGTTTCGAGCTGCAGGTAAGAACCACCATGACAGTTTCATGTGTTGTAGAGGCATCGACCACCAGAAGATTTCCATTGTTGCAGAATTTGTTATTGGGATGATGGGGTGGGGCACGGAGCTTACATACAAAGACTCAGGTAGTTTCAGGGCTTATATATAACACATGTTAACTGTTACCCATCAATAATATAATTGGCAGGAGCAGGACATACCTATAGGCACAAAATCATACCCATGACATACCCATGACTAGTAGGGTAGGGTTGGGGCACTGCCCATAGTCACGAAAATGTGCATGGAACTCTACCCATGTGGGCCGGGTACCCATGCTCATGGGTAAAATTATCATCCTTAGGCTCAGCGCCTCCGCTTGATGCCGTGGGGCACCACTTTGGCAACGACCTCCCGCGCTCCATGCATCGCTGCCTCGCTGCACCGCCCCGAGCGCCGGCACGCTCGAGCTCCCTTCTATGTGACCAGCCCACATTGCTTGCCCCGGAGCGGGAGGAGGAAGGGCCCCGCCACCGCCGAGCCACGCGGGCTTTGCGCGGCGATGCCTGCCGGGGGACAGTGGGGTGGAGCTGGCGGTGGCTAGGTTCCGCTCCCTGGCCGCCCGCTGGAGCGATCGAGGATCTTTTTTTCTCAATGGAGTTTAAAAGAGATTTGTTGTTGATTGTTGGACGACATAATATTAAAGTATAATTATTGTTGTTGTACGATCACGAAAAATTTGAGAAGGAAAATATTTCATGGCACTCCCATGATTTGGCAAATCAAACCATTTCAAGTTGCTGATAGCCTGAAAAACGTCGTCAAAATCTGAAAATTTTAACACAGCAGCGGAAACTGGAGAAGCCCACGCCGAGCCCATGCCCCCCGCATGTTGCCCAGCTCAAACTTTTCCCCATCCGATTGAAACCCTCGCCTCCACCCACCCCCAACCATGCCGCCGCCGACGACGACGACGACGAGGCCGGCACCGGCGCTGCCGGACGAGCTTCTCGAGGAGATCTTCCTCCGCCTGCCCCCGGACGAGCCGGAGCACCTCGTGCGCGCCTCCCTCGCCTGCAAGCTCTGGCTCGGCCTCCTCTCCGGCGCTCGCTTCCGCGGCCTCTACCGCGAGTTCCATGGAGCTCCCCCCATGCTGGGATTCCTTTACAACTGGTTCTTTTGCAGCGGCCCGAAGGAGGATGACCCCGTGGCAAACTTCGTCTCCACCACCAAATTCGGTGCGCTCGTTCCCGACGGCGATGGCTGGGACCGTCAGTACACTCCGTGGGACTGCCGCCATGGCCGAGTCCTCCTCGGGGACTACACTGGGCTCATCGTTTGGGACCCCATGACAGGCCGCCAGATGAAGCTGGAAGCGCCCGTTGGCTATGTTGGCGCTGCGGTGCTCTGCGCTGTGAGGGGATGTGACCACCGTGCGTGTCATGAGGGCCCCTTCCGGGTTGTCCTCATCGGCCTGGACATGAATGAGGATGATGGTGATTGTGTTGCACACGCGTGCGTGTCCTCGCCGGTGACGCCCGAGTGGAGCAAGGAGTGCTCTGATTCTCATTTTGATGGGAGGAGCAGGGCGTGCTCTGATTCTCGTTTTGATGGCTGGAGCAAGCAGTGCTCTGGTCTTTATCTTCTCGCAGGCGATCCAAAAATCGATGCACTGCCTCCTGTCCTCGTTGATGACGCACTTCACTTCAGGCTTACAGATGACGATGAGCGTGTAGGAATTCTCAAGTACGACTTGAGCTCTAATTGCTTATCAATGATTGATGTGCCGCTTACGAGGTTGGCCATTGTCTGGCCCGCTATCCTCATGGCATTGGAGGATGGCAGCTTGGGGTTAGCACACTTGGACGGGTTAACCCTCTATCTATGGTCAAGACTGATAGATTCCAACGGAGTTGCGTCATGGACTCAGCATAAAGTCATCGATCTAAATGAACTTCTCCCCATTCAAAATCCCAAGAAAAGAATTAGTGTTATTGGATCTGTCGAGGGCCATGATATCATTTTCGTGAACATAGATCTTGGCATCTACGAGATTAATTTGAAGACATTACGGTGGAAGAAGCTATGGAAGAGAGAAAAATTCCGTTCTTTGATTCCATACATGAGCTTCTACAATCGACAAGGTATGTCTTAAATAATTAATATACCAGTTGGTGGAACAATTTAAAAGTTTGATTGTTTAGTCAGATGGGCAGTTATTTTTTATGTATCATTTTCGGATATATATGTGCTTGAGCAAACTTTGAGTGTTATGTACGCCCGAATTTTACATCTAATTATGCTTACGCCAACCCAAGGGTGCAATTGTATATAGTACCACGTCTTCTGTGGAATCACACTGATAAATCCATGTTTACAGAAAGGGTGAGGCCCTGCAAGACATTGACAACGTATGGTTGAGTATGCTTAAGGGCAGCAGGCAACATGAGAAATGACTATTTGAAGACGGCATGGGTCTTGCAATCAGTGTCAGTATTCGGTAGCTGTTTTAATGCAGTGGTGCTTGTTTTTTCATAATGTTGTTGGATTTTGTCAGCAAGCTTGAGATTTTCCCCGCGTTAATGGTGTGTAAGCAGGCTAATGAATTATCTCGTAATGAACCTCCAATTTCTTGCAGCATCAGTTATGTGCTTAGTTTTTGAATTGGCTTGAAAATGTACTGTGGGCACTAGTTTTGTCTTGCCATTGTAGAAACTCTACAGTTTGCTCTCATAGCTTTGAGACAAAACAGAGAACATTGATGATGGCATGTTTAGAGCTAGTGATTTCTGTTGCCAAGAGATGATGATGGTTTCTGCATGCTGGCTCATTGGTATGCCTCAATTAATTTTCTGAATTTTATTAATGCTAGAGGTCAAGTGCCTGATGTTACTCAAGAGTAAAAGTATAGCATGCAGTTCCTTATTTTATCCAGGAAGCAATGTACTGAAGAGTATAGCATGTAAACTGAAATGTTGTCGAGCAATATGCCAAGATGGTGATGATTGATCCCGCCCCACCATGGTGACACATATTATGTGGCCATTGTTCTTCTGCAGTCTCTTGTTCCCCATATCAAATTGTGTGACTCGATGGGATATGTGCTGTTAGGTAATTGTAATGGTTTGTTAGGGTTGTGGAATATGATCCTAACCGCTATGTGCTGGACTCGACTCTATGGGATTCACTCTGAAGGTTAACATGGTAATCTGTTATGTGGATGGGACTCAGGATGCTGGTATTCCTCTATTTTTCACATAGTAGCTTCCTGTGTTATTTATTGAACATGAAAGATTTAGTATACAGAATTCTGCAGTTAACTGCCTAATCTCTCCTCCATATACTTTATAGCGGGTATAGATTGTATCTTAACAAGTGAGGATCATTACAAAATTTAAGATCCACTATTAAGCTTTCCTATGGTTACCAAATAACAAAAAAGATTTATCAAGAATTCAGAGGCGATTTTATAATCGATAGAAGGGAGGGACACATATGTCATGACTAGGCCTGATATACAGTTGGCACATCGTGTCCCTGTCCCTGTCAGAAGAAGAAAGACAGAATTCTCTTAACAATCTTGCAAAGAAAATTTGTAACAGTATGTGGCATGTTGCCAAGATATATAATTTTGGAATTATGGAAGATTTCTATTTAGTTTGTTTATTTCTGCTGCAACCTATGTTGTCCAAGTACTTGCAGTTTGCAAAGATTCTTGATTCACTGCCTGCACCTTCATGTAAGTGGCTACAAGCCTGAAGATCTCTAACTTGCAGTGTTTCGACGAATGAAACTGCCCCTCTGCGGCCTCTTTCCGTAAAAAAAAAAAAGACCGGTCACAAGAGGGACGGTCTAGATGTGCATAGAAGAGGGGTGTCCAGACTAGGCATGGTGAATGATCGGAGCTTTGGTGAGATTTGTGGTTATGTTATATATCGATCAAATATACAGTGAGTAGGGCCTGTATATGTAGGCTTCAGCCGAACTCCATCATCGAACGCCATGCCTCCATGTTGCCTGGACAACAATAAGTTGGTCAAAATTCTCTCTGTCGGTAAATCCTTATCAGCAGGATACATGATTACATGAGTAACACTGAACTGAAACTATTTCTCTGAAAAGAGCACTAGGAGCATACACTGCACGTCTACTGTATTTGAGAATATCCAGCAAGTACAAGAAAGGCATGATGGATTCCAGGCTCCATGACACACGGCATTTAGAAAAATAAATCAAAAGTAGTACTTCCAAATATATTTGTCAAAAAGTCAATAAGTGATTATACCTTTGTGGATTCTCTAGCATGGTACCTATACACTGTCAAGGTATAGGTAATGCTCTAAAATGCTACATACACATTGCCAAGATATTGCTCCATACATAAACAAAATACCTGATAATCATAAAATAAATAGTTTGAAATTATTAATGGGGTCAAAGTTTGATCCCGTAATTTTTATGCTAGTCGGATTATCGGTTTGAGTGTCAAGACCATATTTACCATTGATGCACTATAAGTGATTTTTACTGACTTGGAGTGGACAATTAGTAGAAATAACATAGGTTGAAGACCCATTTGAAAAATTCTGTTTATTTGACATTAATCAAGATATTTTTTAAACAAACCATTATATATATATCATGTATCTTCTTACAGATTAATGATTATTCATTAAAATAGTTAAGAAAAATATATAATGTATGATAATCGCATAGACCATAAATATGTGTTATGGGATTTTTGAAAAACGTGTAGAAAAATAAATCTATTATAATTTTCTAATTATTGTGCATTTTTATTGTTTTTTAATTATTGTGCATTTTAATTTTTTTTCTATTTCCATTATTTCTTTTTCGGTTTTGTAAGAAGTTGTCATTGTCAAACCTGTTTATGTGACATAAACGTAAGAAACCTCTGATGGGCGATGGGTGGGAGAGACCGAGAATAAATTAGGGTTTCGGCACCTAATATACAGTGTAGACTACTAAGGCTTAATAGGTTGTCGGTTTTTTAGAAGGCTTGTCTAGAGAATATTGCAAAATACCGCCTCGGATTGTTAGATATGCACAATGTTACAATGTCAATGCCTCAAACGTCAAGGATTGTTGAAAACCCCTCCTCGAGGATATCACTAACTAGAGACAATTTTGAAAACCATCGCTTCCTAAAGAAATATGGTTATATAGTAATTATATAAGGTGTGTTCAGGAATACTCCTACTATTAGCTCCATTGACTCCAAGAAGGAGTGGGCCCAAACTCCACGGAACAAAAATTCAGGATCAGAGGGCCCCCGAAGTAACTAAGATTCATGGAGTTCCGGGTAATTACCACCATCAAAGATATAGGTTTACTTTGAGGTAGACAACAAAAAAAAAAGTGCATCGCCTACACATTTCCCTTATAGCCGAAACCCTAGCCGTGATCTAGCCACCTGTCACTCCTTTGGTCACCTCAACCTCGCATAGCCCTGACGCCAAGCTCCTCACCCAGGCACCGTGATAAGCTTGTCCTCCTTCCTAACTTGTGCAACCCTGATGCCAAGCTCCTTCTCCCTCTGTTATGATGAGCTCGTCGTGTCGCCGACCTCAAGCCACCGAAGCCTTCAGCTAGCACCTAAAACTCTCACGAGATCCTCTCCAAGGACCACCTGCCCACCTGCTCTCCATCCATTTCATGAGATTTTATGGTCATGGCATGAATATTGACATAACCTGATATTTTAGGAAGAGGGACAATGTGATGGAACTTTACTACTTGAGTACTTGGAAATGTTTCTTCAAAATGAAAAAAAGCTATTTTGTGGTTCGCGACTATTGCTAGAGTCTAACTTTGTCCTGTCAACTTTATAGGGGTTGGATATTCATTGCTCAGGTGTCAAACTCACATAGCACTCCACGAAAAACAAAAATTTGAAATACAATGGAATCCAAAAGAAAAAAACAATTAAATATTTTTGGAAAAATCAGCTCACTTTGCAAAAAATCGAGGAAAATAAATTCAATAACTAGGCAGACTAATTTAACCAGAGTTTTACATGGAACTAGATGTTTAAATGACAACATTTGAAGAAAATAGGGAAACACAAAATATGGATGTTATAAAAGGACAACATTTAAAGAAATTATTGTTTTTCTATTTCTTGGGGGAAATCGCGAGGTTTTCTTTTTTTTCCTAAACTAAACAATTTTGTTGTTGACCACTGGGCAATATTATTTGGACTACAAATGCTATCGTCATATCACCACGGGAAAATTGAAAGAAAAAAAATTGATACTAAAATTACTTAAATTATCATAACCCCTCTCATTGATTTGTCTTTCAATTTCCAACATGTGGAAGAATCGTGTGGTGCTCATATTACCACTACCCTGGAAATTGTCAAAAATCTAAAATAGGCCGATCAGAGAAAACCAAGAACACCGCACTACTCACGTCCCTGCCCCACCTGTCGGATTCCCCATCTCAAAAATTTCCCCATCCCAAACCCTCGCCGCCTTCACCCACCATGCATGCCACCACCGAACGAGCTCCTCGAGGAGGTCTTCTTTCACCTCCCGTCGGACGAGCCAGAGCACATCATGCGCACCTCCCGGGTCAGCAAGGTTTGTCTTGGCTTCCTCTCCGTTAGGTTTCTGATGGTGGAACCAACCCACCAGAGATCAAGCTCTAGACTTGGTAGTGGAAATCTCATTTATTTAATTTTGAAATTATTTCATGCTTTTCGGCGATGTTCGTTTAGTGGGAGAAGACGTTTCTGTCAACTACGAGGTGTCTCTGGTGACTTTGTCAATATCAAGATATTGTGACGACTCAATATCTCGGAGGTGCTTCCGTCCATAGGGTGAGTGTATCTGCATGTATGTGAGTATATGCGGTTTTCCTTGAGAAGCCGCGAGGTTTGCTCTGTTAGAATTTTTTTGTTGACCATTCGACAACATCAAATGAAATCCCAAAAGGCTTTGCAAATGATTTCAGGTTGCAAGCAGGGTTTTTTTTTTTGAAAGAAGAAAATGCAAGCACGTAGAAGAATCGCGTAGTTTGCTGCTACCAGCCCAAAGCCCAAATAGAGGCCGATCGGGGAAGGCCAGTCCGGAGCACACAACATTCCTCCTGCAGTGCGCAGTCCCGCCGCAGCAGCCCGAAAATTTCCCCACCCGAAACCCTCGCCACCGACGACCCCGGCAAACCCTCACTGTCTCACACGGAAAACGATTGACGTGGTGAAAAATTCACCCACTTGAATAATAGTAATGCAACAAATCAAATCATTTCAACATGGAGGGATCGTGTAGTTCCGAAAACAACCTGAAAGGTTTATGGGAATCTTACATTCTTAAGAAGTTGATCCCCACTACAAAGCATTCTCTCAACATGCACATACTCCACATCAGCATGCATGGCATGTCATCAATTCAATT